CCCTCCTGGAAGGCTCTCCTGGGCTCGCAGCCGCCGCGCGCGCCTCCCAGTGCGGCTGTCGCCTCGCCCGCGTTGCCGCCGGGCTGGGCCGGCCCCTTGGGCTCTGCGGGCGCCTTCCGCTCCCGCGCCCTCTGCGGGGCCCGCGGGCGCAGCGGTCACGGCCGTCCCCGGCGGAGGGCGGGGTCGGGTCTCCCCAGCGCAGCCAGGGCGGCCGCCAACCTGCCGCTGCCCGCCGGCTGCCCGGGCGTGGTAAGGCAGGAATATGGCGGCCTCTGCCTCCCTTCCAGCCCACCGGCCCCGGAGCGCGGCCTCGGCCCTCTGGGAATCCTCAGGATTCGGCCCCGCGAGCCCCACGCACCGGCTGCCACCGTGGACACGCTGCCCCACTCCCCGTTCCTATTTCTATAACGCCATTCGGTTAGAAAGTATCTCTGGTCACCTCTGACCCCAGTTCAGTAGTAGAAAATAAGAGACACTCAATAGTGGAGTGCGACAGGGGAGAAGAAGTGTCACTGGTTCCCGGAGGGGGGGGGGCGGGGGATTAAAAGGTGAAACTCTACACAAAGTTAGTGGACATAGAAATGTATATCCTGAGCAGAAAAATGAAGCTGCCCAATCTACCAAGAGCTTCCAGATATCTTCCAAGTTTTCATGCCATTGAGGTTGTTTTTGTTTTCTTACAAGCTCTCCTCCTGTTTTTTAAAAGGCACGTGATGTTTAACAGCCAAGGAATCGAATTCACCCTTCTAGGCCGAGATTGAATTATGGATGACTGCTGGGAAAATGCAAACTAATGTGGAAGAAAAGGAAAGAATAAAATAGAAAAATGAGAAAACCAAGATCACCCCAGCCAAATTTTATTCTAGTATTTTGTTTTCCACTCGCGATTGGGGCAGTTTACTTAAAATTGTTTGCATATTCTGTGGTTACATAGGACTGAAAAATGGGCCAAAAAAAAAAAAATCTTGTTCCTTCAGGTTTTATGTGGTTTAATAGCTACAAGAGATGAAACTCATATTGCTTCCTGCTCTAATGGAACCTGAGATCTTGAAAGTAAATTGTATATTATAAAAAGAATCCCTTTTTCACATTTTGTTTTCTCTGAGATGTCCCTGGTGCAACCTGCTGATCCAGTGTCAAGTATGGTCTTCACAGTACTATCGCTACAGGTCACAGGCGCACAAAGGGTTCTTGGATGACAGATGTGTGACTACCTTCTTTCATTTGCCATTACTTCCACCCCTTGACTGTCCCCACCTCTCTCAGAACTTAGATCAAAGAAGTCATCGAAATATAAGATCTGTATTTTAGGCTCCCTTTTAAAAGGATATTTGGCCTAGAAAATGATTAGATTTCACCTTGTCCAGGGGAGCTGAAAGGGCAAACCTCACCCCTTTTATGTGAATGCCCACAAAAAGCCACTAGACTTGCTGTGAAATTAATATTTAAAATTAAGTGACTAATGAAGTTAAAAGACTGAAATTCAACATACAGAAATTTTAAATGGCTTCCAAGGAAAACGTAATTATAAGTTTGCATCCTCTAATATATGTATATATGTATGCGTTTCAGAGAGATTCAAAACATCAGAAAATCAACTGACAGGAAGCTTCAAATGTCTGGGTTTCCTAGCCAAGGATCCTCTGAGATTTTTGAAAATATCGTCAAACTACCAGGTGATCCATTTTGACTGAACTGACCTATTTTTTGATGAAAGGAATTAAGTGTTTCAATACACTGAAGATACGAAGTCTGTTTTATCACATTCCAAATCATCCCCAAACACACAGTAACATGATAAACCATTTTGAGAATTCAAGGGCAATTACTAGATAGCTGCAAATCAAACCACAAAATCTTAGGAGCTTGATTTAACACGGAATGCCAGAGGAAAATGGGAAGACTGTCACCTCTCCTATGGTATCACCCTGTCCTTTGGATAGTGGAAAAGAAAAACAGTCAAAGGCACAGCATAGTCTCTAGGAGTGATCCTAGAGCCAGAGTGAAAAGGTCGCACTCTTGTAAAAGGAGCTCCTGGAGAAGGAGAAGCCTGCACTCCTTCTGTTCCCAGTCACTTGGCATGGCTGCTTCCCAGCATGCATAGCACTGTACCACTGTAATTCATTCTCATTCTCTCTCTCTCTCTCTCTCTCTCTCTCTCTCTCTCTCTCTCTCTCTCTCTCTCTCTCATTAGGAGCTGCTTGAGAGTATAGACCTTATAAGTAATGAATAAAGAAAAGGATACCAGAATCTCCATCAAAAACAAACACACCTGCAGACTCCTGGTCCCAGGCAGTGCCTTAAAGGCTTACTAATCTATATATTTGGGCAGACAGTCCACATGCATAAAAGAATAAACAACAAAGCAAAATGAGAAGCACTCATTACTAATCTACAGTATAGAGAACAGATTTTAGGAGTTCAAAACAAGGAGCAGTTATCCCAGGCACCGGTCAAAGCAACCCAAAAGTATGGATAGGCACACGATGGTGGTCACCTGTAAGACCAATAAGAAGTCAGCTCCTAAAACAGCTGGGATCAAGATGCTCTGTGCAGAGCTCGGGGGCACAGCTGTCTGGCCAGGGAGTCAAGTGGCCTTGCTGGTGTGGAAAGCAGGCCCACGGAGACTTAGAGAGCTGCCAATGGCACCACCTAGAGGACAGTTTTCATAGCAGCACAAAGATTATGATTCTTCGTTGAAACAAAGGGTTCTAAGGTCAATGTGTAGAAGACGAAAAATCAGGTGTGAAACGAAACACCTTCTTCTGAAAGAGAAAATACCCACACTGAAAAGACTGACATTCTAGATGAGGTAGAGTCCCTCAGTGACATCTTTCCATTATTTCCTCAGAAACGCATTCAACCTATCCTCTGACTAATCAAATATGCCTATTTTGTGCTTATCCAAGGTCAGCATTATCATAGGAAGTATTGTACTCACAGTGTAAATGCCACCCAAGTCCCACCAGACTGGATGGCCCTAAAAGGCTGGCCAAATGCGAACGTTTTTAAGCTGAGTAGAGCAGTGTTTCAGCCACTGAAGCCATTTACTAATATTTGATTAATGAATGAATGAATTGGAGCAAATGAATGAATAGGTACTAAGATCAGACAGTGAGATATCAGGTCACCCCAAATCCTTCTGGCATCCAAAGGATAAAGGATAACTTAGCTAGCATAGGAGTTTCCTTTTGGCTTTGGAGTAATATTACAAGTAGAAGCATAAGTCCCCCCAAGTCTCTGCCTTTGCTGGACTTCCACCTGAGACAGAGGGTGCAAAGGGTGGTCTTTGGCTTGAAGGAGTACTGGTTTTGACTTAATGGTGCTATTGAAAATTTTGAATTCACTATCAGAACTTAAACATCAAGAGATTCATGAAATGGGGGTTTCAGTTCCTGGCCATCCCAGGCCTCTATTTCCAGTTGACAGCCATTCCCCCCCACCTGATTTACTCCCCATTGCTGTGAATCCTGGACCAATTTGTACTCCCTATTTAGTAACATGCTATACCTGTGAGCATTCCAGGTAGCCCTCTAAGGCAGTTAGCAGGATGGGGATTGAATATTGGATTTAATCAGGTATTGAGGCAACTGATTTCTTTCCCATTTTTTTGTTTCTATGTGTCTAAGTCAAATAATCATTTATCCCATTATGCTCATCTCCCTCCCTTTGATCATCTCTCATGTAAAGCTCAATAAGAGCAGGGCTTTTTGTCTGTTGTGTTCATCTCTAAATCCAGCACCTAGAATAGTGCCTGGGATATAATAGGTGCTTAAGAAACATTTGTTGAATGATTGACAAAGAGATCCTCCAATCAAAAAGGCCACATGTTGCCCACTTGGCAGTTGGCCTCTTCTTTTTTTCCTTAGCCAGATCGTATCCACCAAAGTTGGCTCCCTCTCTAAAACATTCCTTGGCCCTGTGCTTAAAAGTCTTGCCTCAGGTGAGTTCACCAAGGAAAATTAGCCATTGCTAGGACATCAAGAAAGCTGGGGATGCAATATTTTTGTTCAAAACCCAGATGGAAACATGTATTAATTCCACCTAAATCAACTTGATAGGAAAGTTGATATTCCTGACAAATTCACTTCAAGTAATGTGCATGTTATACATTGGAGGTTATGACACAATATATACTCAAAGTTGTTAACTGCTTAATGTGTGATAAATTAATGAAACACAGCACATGTTGGTGAAAAATACATAAGTAATTAAAGTGTCTGTTGTGCTGTCTTCTCAATGATTGAAATGGTCTTAAGATTAACCTTTCAATTAATTACTATCATAAATTTTTCAATCTGCCATTCTGAATTTTATCAAGACGTAAGAAAGCTAAAAGCGTTTCAATTTTAAATAGAATATAAAATACCTCTTCCTGACCACAAAGTTAGATATAATAGTATCTCTCTTGTTTTGTTTTGTTTTGTTTCTTTCCTATACTTAGGCCTATGAAAATCTATTTGAGCCACAAAAATTTCCAAAGGCCCCTTTTAAACTTGTCAATGTACATCAATCTTCTCATCCTTACACAAATTCTTAAGAACCAGGTTTGGG